CCCTGCCTATAGAGCAGAGATAGAAGCTTGTCCCAGCCCACCAATCCTCTAGTGGCAACTCACAGCTATAGCTCCTAGTCCTGCCTATGGTCACCAGGTCTCTAGTGGCACATCACAGCTGTGCAGGTGGAGGAGAGTCAGAGGAGGTTTCTAAACTAAAGGTGTGACTGCTCCAAACTCTAAGATAGCATTAATACCAATTAACATTTGTGCAGCTCACAGCCCTTAATTACCAGAATGGAGTAATGACAATGGAGAGTCAGATTACCTAAATGATCTCTTTCCAATGAATTGCCTAATTGCTTTCCTCTCTTAATTGATTCTTATAACTCAGCTGGTCATTTAATTGTTACCTCCTCTAATCATTTTACCCAAGTGATCTGCTTCTTACTTGCCAAAGTTATTGATTATTCCAAAACTGATCTATTGTTAATTGATTCCATGATTAATTGATTTGCCACATTAACTCACACTATTCCTAATCCTGATCTTTCTTTACCTGCCCCGAAGTATCAGTTCAGTGCTTCTCAAGGTTATTATCTGTTCTCACCCTCTACTTCCTGATCTCCCATCTCCTCCACTATTGCTCCCTCTGTCTTGACCCACACTACCTCTCCTTGCTGTTGGTGCTATCTTCTTTCTTACACAAAAGCTTTGGCTAGCAATAGGTGTATCACAGTTCCTGTTTCACCAATTCTACCTGGCTCCCTCTCTATAGCCCTTTCAACCCATGAGACAGTGTGCTCTTTCTTTATCATTCCCTCTTCTGTCTAGAATGTTCATTCCCACTTCACAAAGCTTTCATCAATCATTCCTTTCATCTAGGAGTGCTAAAAAAAATAATCCAGTTACTGGGTTTTCAACCAAATGAAAATGTGTTTGGAAAATGGATACTTTACTTGAAAGAAGCCAGAGAAAGAGAGAAACTAGTAAACAAGATAGTTTATATGGGATATGACTTTGGTGAGGAAGGAGCAAGATTCTGTTCATTTAGGTTAGGAGTCCATGGGTATGGACGGATGTAACAGTTGTATCTACAGTATATCAAATGATACTCATATAAGCTAGGGACCTACTGAACCTGTGACTTCATGGTTTTCATAGAAACTGTGATTTTGGGCAGGCCCTGTGAAAACGTGTGGGGTCTGCTCCCTGAAAAAACTAACTCACCAAAAATAAAATGCTGGCTCCCTTTGGAGCATAATGCGTAATAATGGTGGATTAAGTAACTGTGGGCGCTTTTACACATGCTCTCAGGGTGGTGGTGGGTGGGTGCTTTAATTAGAGTGGCTCCAGGAGCCGCTTTAATTAAAGCACTGCTACGTCTCCTGTATCAGCATACCTGTGCTAAAAATGGCAGTGGGGGTGCTTGAAATAAAGCTCATTCAACAAGCTTTAGTTCAAGTGGCCCTGCCACCATTCTTAAGTGCAGGGAAGATGATACATAAGACACAAAAGGCTGTTGGAGCATGACAACTGCTACACTCCAAGCAGACTCAATTAATTGAGCCTGCTCCAACACACTGGAATTCTGGCAGGTCAGAGCAGCCTTGGCATTTGTGTATATGTACCCTGTAATTAATTACAGGTACTAACTTAATGTGCCGTAATTGGTGCTACTGTGTAGTAGCACAAGCACACCCTTTTCCATAACACTAATGTGCACAGTAGACAAATTCTATTGTGCACATTAGTGAATTAGCACAGTTTTTGCTGGCCATGCCAATACACAGTAGAATCAGTCTACTGGGCCTTTAGTGTCTTGTGTAGACATGCCCTGGATGGATCTAAGATACCCAGACTTCAGTGAAGCATTTTCTACAATGCCATGTGGAAAATTAAAAATCCAACTAGAATACGTGGGGATTAGTGCAAGAGCTGTGGAGTAGGAAATGAATGAATAAAAGAAGGCTCAGACTGGAGGGCATTTACTAGTGCAGTTTTTCAAAGACTTGGCTTAGGACCAATTTTATTGCATATGGTAAGCAATCTCCATGGAACAAAAGCTATGAGTGTGCTTTTGAACAGTAGCTCATTGGATGACCATAGTCTTCCAATGCAATAAAGCAAATAAAATCTATGATCTATCAGACAAGAATAAGTGGATATAAAATGAGCAGGAATACATTTAGGCTGGAAATTAGGCAAAGATTTCTACTCAGAGTAGGCAGAGTTCTGGAACAATTGTCCAATGGGAATAGTGGAGACAAGAAACATAATTAGCTTTAAAGAGTTTCATTAGTTGATAGCACATCCCTTCTAGTCATATGTGTTTGTGTGTTGGGGAATGGAGCCCCAACCCCTTATCAAATCCTCTAGGTAAAAAGAGATGGCAATATATCAAGGGTATGCAAACGGTGGCAGGTGTGCCAGACAGTGACATGCCGAGGCATTTTGCTTGGCATGCACACCTCAAGGAAGGGGCCAGGGCTGTGCTGCCACAAGAAGCAGACCCCTCACAGCTCTCCTATCATCCACCCCTGACATGCAAACATCTTATAAGTCAAGGTTGCAGCTGTTTTGGGCACTCGACCCAAATACGGTGCTGCCCCTGCAATACGTTATGAGTGAAATCTAATTGCTGTGACATTTCCAGACAGCATACATTTCCAATATCACAATCAATAAACACAAGATATATAGAGAGAATTAAAAAATGTTATTTTAAAAGAGTCAGTAATTCATAACTATATTATTTCAACCTTCTAAAAAGCCACACCTCCATCAGTGCTCTAATTGCCCAGTCAAATCCCTACTGAGCCAGTGGGTACTTGACCACTCACAGAAGCGCTGCCTGTGCCCCAACGGACTGATCAAAAAAAAAACAAAAACTCGCACCTAGAATCTATTTTCTAATAACAATTTTAAAAGAAAATTAAAAATTCATTTTTGAACTTTCACAAAACTTTTTCATGAAAATTAAAATGGATTTCAATTTAAGAGAAAAGAAATATTGATTCTCAGTTCTATAGAGTAGTTATGCTTTCTTTTCCTTGCCTCCTACTTTAGAAATACCCAACATATTTTCTTTAAAATCAAAGGCTTTGCTTTTAAATCAGAAACTTAAACTATTTCAATAGAAAATAATAATAATAATAATAATAATAATAATAATAATAATAATAATATCAATAAATTTAAAAAACTTGAATAACAACATTTAAGAAGATTTGGTTTTTCTACTTCTGAACAATGCAACATTCAATTTATTACTATTATGGGCATAAAGGTTTACTAATAAGGCTACTAGGACTATCTGGGAGAAAGAAAAGTTAAAGCAGCATACACCTTTAAAAAAATCTGTGATCTGATTCCAGATAATGAATTATCAGAAAGAGAAGCAAAATAAGTTAAGTAAATTTTGTCTTACTGTTTTGTTTACGTATCTTTTACAATATGGACATTATTTTGTAACGCATCCCAAGAAAAATTAAGACAATATACTGCATGTATATGGTCTGATGCCTCCCACCAGCATGAGTGCATACTGTTAATTCCATGGCAGGAAACAGATGTGACAAGGATTAGAAAGTGCTCAGCTAGTTCACTAGAAACTGAGTAAAACTATTTAAATTGTTAATATGCTCTGGTGCCTGGCTGCAATTAGTTCCCAGCAGTAGTGCATTCTGGAAGATTTCTCAAGGTCACCAGTATATTTTGAAGCAAAGCAGTTGAACATTTTCAAGCTTGCTTTCATTTACTTTGGAACTGAAACTGTTCAAAATGAAATAATTAAACTATAACAATTTATTGAATTTGTTGAAAGACAGTCCTAACCAGTTATTAAACCATTTAAAAACATCTGCAGACTGTATGGGGCATTTAATGTAGAAACCAAAGAGCTGTACAGGCTTTTTATTGTCTTTTTTAAATTTTTATAGTAAGCCAAGGCAGAGTGTTTAAGCAAAAAGCCACCAAGGACACATGCAGGAAGTCTATAATGGAAACATCTCTAAGGCTGAATTATGGAGCCAACAGTCAGGTGGAATCTGCCATTGTCTAAGGCTTTTTGGGCAATGGGCTGAGCTATGGCTTCAACTGGAAGTATGTGAAAGGCACAGCTTTAGTCCTGTCACAGGGCAGACAGACCTTACCACTAGAGAGCCAGCACCACTTCCATTATCAGTCACCTAAGCATCGGCATAAAAAATAAGGGTGATTCCACTGACTTCAGTGGAAAACACTGGGTTTACACCAAAAGGAGCAAAAGCAGAATTCATAAGCAAGTCATGAAACTTAACTTATAGCATTTTACCTTCAAGCTAGTCTGTTTTTTCCAGAGAAAAAACAAAATATGCACACAATAGAAACAAAAACAACTGCAAACTTAAACAGACACACACTTCTCTGGCTGTGTATTTAGCAAGTTCACATATGAACACTTTCATTTACAGCAGTTGGTTTGATAAGTGAAGCACAACTTAGATTCTCAAAAACAGTTGATTTTATCTGGGCCATTTGGTAAGGAATGTCTGACAAAAGTGTACTGTCTGATTCGGATACAGTGATTGCTGAAAAAAAATGGCTTGAGATTATTCAGGGAGTTCTGCAGCTAAACCCAGAAGACATCCTCATCAAGTACAGTGTTCCTTACACCTCTGGGCACTAAGATCCTCAATTATTACTATTTCTTGAAGATCTTCTTTGCTTTTAGTAAACTTTCAAATGAGATCACCACTCCACCCCTTCTAGTTTTATTACAGAGTTTGAGGGTCTCTATTTGATTCTTTGCATTTTTTTCTTCCTGCTTCTTCTTAAAGACTGCAGCTACAATATGAGTGGCTTTTACATATTTTATAATTTCTTTTGCTCTTCTACAGATCTTCTACAGTGTCCAACTTCATGATGCCCTTACGAAGCAAGTTTAGCCCACGGGATGCACATCCCATTGCAGTAGTATGTGGATATTTATCCATTATGATCTCCCATGCTGCTTTTATGTTACTTGCATTGTCAGCCAGCAAAGCAAACACTTTACCACTCCAAAACTTCTGTAGGACTTCACATATTTTACTACTGATATTCTCTGCAGTATGCCTGTTCTCTCCTGTTTCAATGCTTCTGTAAAAAAATGATTGAGATGTTATCACAAAGTTTATGATTCCTTCTCCCCGCACATTTGTCCATCCATCTGTAAGTACTCCAAGACACAGTGCTTCGTTGATTTTTCCTTGCACAGATTGCATTACACATTCATATTATGACTTTAAAAGAGGCTTGCTCAAAGAATGTGTGCTGGGCAAACAGTATGATGGTCCTAGTAATTTAAAAGCTTCCTGCCAGCATGCATTTTCAGTTACTGACAATGGCACCTTAGAAGAATATGTTGCTCTTGCAAGAGTTTGGTCAACTTTTTCCTGATCTTCAGGTATCATCTTGTCTACAAATGAAGCTATTGAGAGTCTTTTGTATACAGTTAGTTGCAATATTTGCTTACTTGAGGATCCTGATTGGGCAACCCACCACACTGAGTGTTATAACAAAATGCTCTGCGCGCTAAGTGAAACCAAGTATGTATTTTAAATGAGTACTATAGCGAAACCGCAGTAAGCGAAACCATGTTCAGTGGGGGTTGCCTGTATTTCATTTGACTATTTGCACATCACATTTTTTTTATCAAAATAATTTGCAGTGTTGAAATGCTTCCATATACTAGAAGTTGGTCACACCATTTTGCTGAGGGAGAAAAAGGAAAATTTAATTTAGTGGCTAGCTTGCACATATAAACACTAAGCTACAGCATGTACAAATTTAGTAATGAATGGAGGAGAGGCCTCCTCAGAGTTAACTGTGAACAACTTCCCTGCCCTGCAGGCCTTTCTTCACTGCTAAGGTTGGGTGATTTGTCACAAAACATCAGATAAACAGGAATTCAATTATGAATTACATAGGTTATGAAACTATACTAATGCAGTTAAAATATAGTTTAATATACTGAATTCAGATAAATTTAAACTCTTACCTTTCAATAAAGAAGTATACTTTCTTTCAGCTCTTTTGTGCTGCTTCTGTACTTCCGTGGATCTCAAGGTCACAGGGCCAGGAGGAGGCAGGTTCCTTCCAACTCCAAAACCTTTAGACTTGTTCCGTCTCCTCTCCTGAGGCTTTTGAGCAAGCAGAGCAATAAGCTCCTTGTTTCTAATCTCTACAGGAATGAATGGATGCTGCTGCCAGTGTCCACTCCCAGTCCCTTGAGGCCTAGTCAGAAGGACAGGAGCAGATCCACCAACCTCTAGATCAGAAGTCAACAATAGAGGAAGTCCACAAGCAAAGAAGGCACTGAATCCTTCTTCCTTCTCTTATGAAAATGGCAGTGCCCCTTAAGAGCAGAAATGCATCTTGCTGTTGCATTTGAGAATTGTACTGAACTGCTTGTCCTTGGTGTACAGGAAATGTTCTGATACTGCAGACAGTCTAACATAAAAGTCTTCCTATTACATAGTTATTAGAAAACATTTTGGGGGAGTAAAGGGTAGCGATATACGAACACCTTGTCTTAAACAATTGATTCATCATTCTAAAAGAAAATATTTCAGAAGAGGTTTTTTTTAATTTTTCCAAAAATTGTCAATTTTTCCAATTTTTTGTGGGGAAAAAAGTCCTTGGAAAAAACTTTTTTTTCTGAATTTTTCTGTTTTTTTTCTGGGCCTTCACATCTCTAAGAATGGGAACTGAAAACAAAAACAGAAACCATCATCATACCACTCTACAAATCACACAGTATTCAAGATGTGGGCATACTGTGGTAGTTCTGGTCTCTGCATCTCAAAAAGGATATAGTAGAATCACCAGTCTATACTCACCAAGCATAAGCAAGTTGATTCCTCTTTGATTACTATAGTTTTAACTAGCCAGTGTCCATCTTGCCAAATCTGCACAGAATCTTAGTTTTTTAACTGGGGAAGTAGCCTTGCTCCAGGTTTAATTCTACATCTGGTTGAACTTTCCCAGTTTTTCCACACTAAATCGCAGACTCATTTGTCATCCTTCAGGGAGTCAAGTTTTTATACTCTGTTGTAGAAGAGTTCCACAAGTCACTTTCTACATTATAGTGGTGTAACTCTGAGGTTGAGTACTGCCAAATAAGGAACTTCACTTTCCTCCTCTGCTTTTTTAAGTAGGTTCTTCATAATGCATACTCTACATTCTGCCAATCCATTGCAGATATTTGGGACCAGATATCTAATGACAAACATCATGCAACTGGGCAAAGTCTTGAAATCCTCTATTCCTGAACTGCAGTCCAACAATAGTAACTACAGTTCTTGGAATTTCATGGACTGCAAAGGCAGATTTAATATGCCTGACAACTGTTGCTGCTGTAGTATCTTGGAGTATTACTACTTCTGGTAAATTAGTGTGGTAGCCCAATATTAACTACAGAGACCATATGCCTTGATTTGGCCAGGACAGTCCTGGATTTCATAGGCCATCCTGGCATCCCGGCTGACTAGCTAAATTGAAGCAAAAGTCCCACCTAAACGTGCCTGGTCTGGCTCTGGCTGAGCAATGGCTGGAGGTTGTGGGGGCAGGTTGGGCTGAGGACTGCTTCTCTTGCCTGGGGTGGTAACCGGACAGAGCAGGCCAGGCCAGGCTGGGGGAGAAGGCTATAGCCAGGGCTCAGGCACCTGTGTGGGGCAAGCTGGGATGGCTGCCTACTGCTGGGGCACAGCTTGCGTGTGGTAGCCCAGGGCAAGCTGCTGGCAGCAGTGAGGAGTAGGCTGGCAGAGCCCAGGGATGCTCCCACCTGGGTCCAGCATCTGCGCATGGGGGATGGAGCCTGGTAGTGGGCCTCTGCTGTCCTGTCCCACCCTACTCTGCCATCAGAGATCTGGGACAGTAAGGTACTCCTGGGAACCGCAGGGTCATGGGACAATGTATGTGTGGTGGGGGATCTTGGGCACACCACAGCTCCTGCCCTCCCTGAAAGCTGAGAAGCCCCCGCCAGCCCTACCTGGGCTCAGCTACCCCCTGCACCCTGGCTCAGAGCTGTGTCTGTGCAGAGCTGCCTGTGGAGCAGGCAGGTGGGCAGCCTTTCCCATCTCTGTGCAATACATCCCAGGGCAGCTCCAGCCCTGTCAGCTCCGGGCTGTGCACAACCTGCCCCTTCCCAGGAAGGCATTCTGTGGCCCAAGGGCCATCTGTAGCGGGCTCAAGTCCAGGATGGGCCACTAGGGCCAAGTCCTGGGCAGGTCCCTCAAGGGCAATCAAATCAAAGCAGAGTTGCTAGCTTCCCTCCCCTGAGCCCCAAGCAGTGGCAGCGGGCACATGCTTCCATGATTGGGACTACAAACAGCCCAGGATAGCTGTGCCCCAGCGGGTTGCATTGGGTTCAGTCTCTCTGGAGCTCCTACCCAGCTGCCGGCATTACCCCCCACCAATCCTGCTCTGCTGCTCTCTACCAGCTTGTGCACCTGTGAGACGCTGACTGTTCTGCAGCGAGTGTCCTGTGTTCTGCCCCAGCACCACAAGGCAGAGGCTGAGCCCCTGCAAGTCACTGCAATGCACATTGCTTTCTGGGCACAGCCTGGTGGCCCTGGAAACTTCAGAAGGGCTCAGCCCATGCCTGCCTTGCTTCCTGAAGTACCAGCAGCTCCTTCCCGCAGGCAGAGAGAGAGACAGAGAGTGGGTGTGTTGTCCTCTGTCCCAAATTCCCTTACCCCACCCCTCCCAGATTTCCTTCAAAATAATATAGTCACCCTAAGGATAAGTTGGTCATGTCTTCCTCAACTGAACAGGTCAATTCCTACCTTGTCCCATAGAATAGCAAAATGCTCATGAGGTATGGTTAGTCCTTTTTGCTGGGCATCTCTGTACTTCTACCATGTTTCACAGCCCATCTTCAATGTCACCATTCATCCATGACCAAAAGACATTTCTGGCTCTGCTTTTCAATTTGATCGTTCTCAGATGTCCTTCATATATTCATTCCAAAATTTTCTCTTTCATCACTTATAGAAATTACAACCTGTGTACCCTCTAAGAGTACACCTGAGATCACTGAGAGTTCATTTTTATACTGACAATTTGCAGGCAGGAAATGGTGACATTTTTCCCCTTATTGCTTGTATCACCATTTGCAATGTTTCATCTTTAGCTCTTTCCATCACCAGTTCATTCCAAATGTTTGGAGATACATTGTATGATGCTTTAATCATATCCACACGTATGATTACAGTTCGTTCTGGATCATTGGGTTGTGGACTGTTTGACAGAGAGCATGCTTTTGAAAGGATGTCTGCCAGCACTAAGTGGCATCCCGGTTGGAACTCCAGTGTCATATCACATTTCTACAATTTTAAAAATAGTCACTGCATCCCTGGTAGTGCATCTCCAAGTCCTTTTTTTGAATATGTTAATCCATGGTTTGTGATCTGTTTCTACAGTAAGTCATGGAATCTTCTACATCCATAAGCCAGGCCAAGGGTCTCTTTTTCAAGTTGTGCATATAATTTTTCTGCAGCTGTCATAACCCTAAATGCATATGAGACTAGTAACCAATCAAACCCATGATTTTGTAATAGTACTGCTTCCAACCCCTCTTGTAAGGACATCTGTGGAAAGTTTGATGTTTTTTAATGGGCCAAAGAATTGTAGCACTGGGGCTGATGTCAGTATATGTTTTAGATCTTAAATTCCCTTCCATGTTCTGGCATCCAGGTCCCTTCCATACCCTTGTGGAGAAAATGCCTTAAGTGAGCTCTGCAAGCCGTGTAGTTGGGAATAAACTCTCTCACATAATTCAATATTTTTAGCAATCTTAGAATTCTGTTTTTGTCTTTAGGTTTTGCATGTTTGGTATTGCCTAAACCTTTAGGTTGTCCAGTAATATTCCCTTTGAGGTCAGTTGCTGGCTCCAAATATGTCACGTATCCAAAACTGACATTTGTCCTTATTCAGTTTACGATTATTAGCTCTTTCAATATCCAGTACTTTTCTCAGTTGTTCTTCATATTCAATGGCACTACTGCCCTGTACTATTATGTCATCAATAGAGACCTTCAAACCTGCCAGTTCCTCTAGGATGTGGCTCATTGTATAGTGAAGTACTTCTGGGGGCTAAGCACATCCCCAAAGGTAGTCTTAGGAAGCAGAATCTTCCAAATGGGTTTTGAAAGTGCAGATCTTAGAGCTCTCAGTGTCCAAAGGGATCCGTCAAAATTCTACCGATGCATCTAATTTGATGAATAGCTTTTTTTAGTCTTTTGCTTAAGGTATGTGGGACTTGTTGTATGGCATGTATCACTGGTTATGCATCTTTTCTTAACCATGTTTTATATGTTACTGGGAGGCTATTAGTATATTCAAATTAGGTGCAGTGCCATTTTTCAACCACTCTATGGTATACATCCTTTTAATAAGAACAAGTACCTCACCTGTGTACAAGACCAAAACTGGTTGCTTTGCTCTGTATATCAC